CAACCCTACATTTTTCAGTTCCCTTTATCGGTGGATTTCATAAAAGATTAGCATATGGGAGCCTTATGCATATGCAGTATAGTCATAAGTTCAATATATCCCTTTTAAGAAATTGTATATTAAGAAACTTGATTGAGATATTCATCAAATATATAAGGTGGTAAGTATCGTCAATAAACGGTCTTGAACATTTGTATCGCACGGTTCGAGTAAAAAACCAATCACCCAAAAAGAAACTGTTGCAACAACGAAAATGGAAACGACAAGAAAAGAAAAAGAACGCGTGACACAGCCCGTCCCGTCCTTGCACTTCTACCTGATAGATCTGTTTAGTATATGCGACCAAGCAGGGGAGTGTAAACAACACTTTTTGATCGTACACGTTTTACATTAGAATCTTTTCTTAAAATCATAACGTATAGTACATAACCAGTGAATTCCACGCGCACTGAGAGAGGATGGTCCCTCCCTCCCTTCCTCTCGTACCACCATATCATAACATTTTGTCGACATTTCTTTGTAGTTTAGTTGGACCTCTTCATTTTAATTTCACTCCGCAGTTATTATTCTCGAAGAATCCTAGTGAGAGTTAGCAATAACATTAAATGAGTTTCGTGTTCGAGTTTTTCAGGCTTCCAAACTAATGATGATAGAACTTAATAGGGTATTTGGTAGACAAGAATTTCTTTTTATGTGGGAATCACGATTTTCAGGAATATGATAGAAAAATGAGTTTTTTAGGAATATTATCAAAAAGTTGTTTGGTAGACTAAAATATTTCCGGAAATATTGGATTAATTTTCTTGATACTATGTTTAGTTGTATTAAATTTTTCCTTATCATAGAAATCCTAAAATATCATCCCTTGGATGGTATTCTTGGATGATATTTTCAAAAAAGTTACAAACAAAATAAAATCCCGGGAAAATCAGATTCTCAGAAAATTTTAAAAAATCTTGTATCTAACGTGAATAAATAAGATTACTACTTTCAGTTTCCTGGAAATCCTAAAAAAAAATTGTAACAAACGCTGCCTAAAGGGAATCTAAGTGAGTACCATATTTTGGATTTGATTATAGTGTTTAAGCTCACTTAATATTGTTATTCACTTAACTCATGAATAATAACTATTAATATTTGTATGGATAATGATTTATATTTTATTGAATAAATTATTGTAAAGAATCAATCCAACCCAAAAGCTTAAGTTGTTGGGTGAGGTTACATTAATGATTTTATATATTTTCTAATACGCTCCCTCGAAAGCCCGCTAAACGTGAAGGATGGAGAATGCACAGACTCACTTACATGTAGGGGTGAAAGTGGGCTGGGCTGGGCCAAGCTTTGCCCCGAAAAGCCCAAGCCTATGCCAAAAATTTTCAATTTAGCTTGGCCTAAGCCTAGTACGCGTCTAACTGTTAGCCTGACTTGGCACGTTTATAAAAAACAAATGGCCTGGCCTAGCTCGTTAGCCTGTTAATTTTTAACTTCCAAGCGGAACTACGAATCAACTTTACAAAATACTCAAATTCTGTTGCTAAACCAAAAATCATAATTTCAACGTCCAAACAGAATCATGAATCACAACAAAACTCATACAATCACATATAAGTCAATTTAAAAGCAAAATGCTCAAATTAAATAACATATATTTCATCAGATCCAACAAACAAATCTATACTATGTAAATTAAAATAACTACGTGAATCCAACAAACACATCATGATGCTTGTAATAAGTATAACATCTCCCAAAAACCTTTTAATATATTCATATACACAATCTAACATGCTGAGATGTTGGTTTCTCCTACATAAGAAATAAAGTCAGATTTCTATTAAAATATAATTAAGTTATAAATAATTGCAATTAATTAAATATATATCTTTTTTTTTTCTGCAAGTCATACTTATTCTATTTTATTTTATTTAAAATAAATAATACAATATAGGCCGACATGTAGGCTTATAGGCTAGACTTTGTGAAAGTGAGCCTACGGCCTTTTTATTAAACAAGCTTTTTCAAGGTCCAAGTTCGGCCTATTTTACGAAATATACTAGGTCAAGCCTGGTCTGACGTAGGCCGAGCTGTAGGCCTCTGTAGGCCAGCCCAGCCCAATTTCACCCCTTCTTACATGTGCTAAGAAACTCCACAAGACGTAATTAATTACGTCATTAAATAAGGGGCAGTAAGGATCGAACATGTGAATCCTGATATCATGTAAAGAATCAATTCAATTCAAAAGCTTAAGTTATTGGATGAAGTTACATTACCAATTTTATATTTTTCTCTAACAATTATGTTAAATTGGTAACAACATTACTTTTTCTTTTTGAAAAATTATGTAGCATTACAAAAAATAATAATCTAAACTTTAAATATGATAAATTTATTTGGAGATTTTTTTATTCGTTAATCGATTAGTTGATTAATTCAATTCAAATAAGTAAGATTATATATGCGGGAAAACTCATTATACCAATTTTTTAACATAACTCCATATTCACATTTCAAATTCAAGACCACATGTTTGTTGGATTATTACTCTTTTGTTTTCTCGCTTGAAAGCTAAAACAACGCCCGTTTATTAAATCATGATAATAAAATATTTATCCACCACATTATTTTATTATCATAGTATCAAGCAACATTACTTAATCCTAAACTAATGAGCATTTCAAGGAATCATCACATGGCGATTATTATTTTAAACTTTCGGGTCAATTCAAGCGGGACCCGTAAGCGACGGCTTCGTATGGCAAGGACGAAGTTGTAGGATAACCTTTCCGACAAAACCAGGTGCCCATTGGCCCACGTGTCACCAAGCCCGCGCGTGTCATTCTAATAGTTGTGGCTGGGAATGTGCGAACCACACGAATCTTAGTTCTTGAAAGCTCTTGTTGGGCTTTGAATAACTTTGTGTGAAGTTGCAAAAGCTACATCTATGATCTATGTGCCTCAAATCAAATACTACAGTTTTGGGTCAAACAGTTCCATCTCACATAAATGTACATGGCTGTGTGACACTTTGAACAATACGGTTGAGTTACATTCAACTAACACAAGGTTCTGTTTCAAATTTTGAATTTTCCAAACCTCTTTCCGTGATTGATTTTTCTAGTTATATATTCTTTTTCTTTTGTTTTGTGTAGTTGGATTAAGCAACAAGATCATTGGAAATACCATATATAATACCATTATATAGTACTACGTTTTTTTTTTTCTTAACCTTATTTCTTTCTCGGATTATGGGTTGGTAAAAAAAGCATACTAGATTCATAGGGGAATATCCACAATAATAAAAATTAATGGGCAATTTAACCGTACGTACCACCTTTATGTACCTTCATAACGACACTAACAGTGTAATTATCTAAATCTAATGAAAGTATTTCCAACTCGTTCAGAGTTGTAACCCGGACAATGGAACAAGAAACGACACGAGGTGAACACAAAATAAAATAAAACTATAATGAAATTATTAAGAAAGAAGAAATAAACATAACATTAATTATATGAATACATTAGTCTAAGCTCTGAGGAACTGATAAGGGATGGTCATGGTGAGTATTTAATAGCTGAGATGTTAGCTTTATGCTTCAAAGTAAAGAAATATTTATCACCAAATACATGAATCAATTAATAAATGATAATTCTAGTTTAACTAACTGTGTTAAAATTTTGTGAGGAAAGCTTTATCACCTATATAATTATATTCAGTTCAAATCGAACTAATCGAGTAATCTACGTCACGTGAATAATAAAGAAACAACTAGGAAATGTTTTCCTCTCACACGAAGGGACACACACGAAAGTTAAATTGCACATGCCCGTTTAATACAAGTTAATTCAAGTCCTTGTTATTAGTGCGAGTAATTTATTCAAAATGTTTGTCTTTGTCTAATGGATACCATTCTTTAATATATATCCAAGTGTTGTGGCCACTAGAGGGGCACATTGTCCCAGTCAGAGAAAGTAATAATTTACCACCTCCATGATTCAGATCACGTGCTAAGCACGACATCCATGGAGAACAGACAAAATGGATTCATTTACAGTACTCCTTTTTATTTTATTTTATTTCTTAATAAAAAATGAGCAATCACTCATGAGTTGAAGATTCTTGATAATTATAAAAATACTAGTTTCGTATAAAAGATTTACAATTATGAGATTGGGGACCTTCATCAAAGATGGTCCAACCAGAATTGCTAACTCTGGGGAAAAATGAACTAAAGCTGATTATTTGTGGTTCGAAATATCATTAATCATCCTAAATACTGTGACAATAATTACCATAGTACTCAGTTTCCATAGGTCAAGGGTCTGGTCCATCCTTCTGATGCTTTCATCTTTTAACAACTGACATTTGCCTCCTATGCCACACTGCTTTTTTTATTTTTTTATTTTTTTACAATCTTGAATCTCAATTCTAATGACACCCCATTTTTGTCTTGGGAAATGGCAATGCGCACAATTTCATTTATCTACTGTAATTTTTCCTCAACTTGCAAAAGCGGGGACTATCAAGCATTTAATTTTGAGGTTGATCCAAGAAACGTGTTGAGACACAGATGGCGAAACCCACATTACCCTAAATTCAAGTGGCTTAACTGTTCCTTTTGTTTTTAAAAGGAAAATTCCATAAGAAAAATGGATGTGAAAGTAGCACTGACATAGATGATAAATACAGACAGCGCATTAACTCCAGATGTATGTTATCTATTAGGCCAAAATTATTTAGCCAGCGGAAGAGAAAATAGCATCAGCAGAGTGATACATCCTCTTATAGAGTCCTTTAAACTAGCAAACAAACAAGAAGAGTAAGTAGGCTCAGAACAACTTTGAGGACAACATGGTATGGTTTTCTTAATCAAGAAAATTGATGTTAGAGAGTCATTTTAAAGACATATTTTGACATATTATCGCAAATCAGAGCAAAAGTTGCAGTTTATCAAATGGGTGAAAACAAATCAAACAGCCTTAAGAAAGGGCCAAAAGATCCTCCACTTAGTCACCATCACTGGGGTCGCAGATTCAAACAGAATCTTTTCAAGATTATATCTGAATGAGAAGTACTTTGAAATTTCTAGGAAACATAGGTAGTAACAACTGAAGCTGTTTATATACAAGTTAAACAACTTTTTTTTATGTATAAAAATAACAAGAACTACATACATCAAAGACCCAGGTAAGCAATCCCCTTTTAACCGTTTCCTCTTATATATCTGAAATAATTTGAACCAGCAAAAGAAGAAGGACAAAAACTTTAGGGGAGCTGGATGCGTCATCTCCTCCTCCTTTTCCTCCTGTCTTTTTCCCAAAGAACCTCTTGAAGTGTCCGGAATTTGTCGCCTAATTCTTGCTTAATTCAGGGGCTTCTTTAATGCTCATCTCTACCATTTCAACTGCATTGAAACCTTCATCCTCGGTGGCTATGGTAGACTGAGAATCCATGCCGGACCCCGCCTGGATTTCCTTGAACATTGCCATGACTTGAATCATGGTAGGACGCCGCCAATGTCGATCATCCAAACAAGCACAAGCCACCTTTAAATGCTGTAAAAGCTCAATCTCCAGAGTGGGGTCTTCTTTCATGAGCTCAGGGTCAAAAACATCACTTATTTTCAGTTTGGCATGTTGTTTAACCCATCCCACAAGATTGTTATCACCAAAATCAGCCGAGTCCGTTGGCCTTTTCCCTGTTAGCAGCTCCAGCAAAACAACACCATAACTATAAACATCACCTTTAGTGGAGCATCTGAAGCTTTGATAGTATTCGGGAGGAACATAGCCAGGGGTGCCTGCTAGTGTGCTGACACTTAAATGGGTATCCATAGCACTCATAAGCCTAGCCATTCCAAAATCAGAGACTCTGGCTTCTAGGTTCTCATCAAGCAATACATTGCTTGACTTCATGTCTCTATGAATGATGTGCGGGATACAATTGTGGTGAAGGAAAGCCAATCCCCTTGCAGCACCAATGGCAATTTTCCTCCTCACTGCCCAGTTCAGCTTTATCCCTGCTTTCTTCTGGTCATGCAGAACATCTTCTAGGCTCCCGTATTTCATGTATTCATAAACCAAGAGCCTTTCTTCTCCAACCTTGCAATAGCCCAGAAGGGGAACAAGGTTCCTGTGCTTGATTTTCCCAATTGTTTCCATTTCAGCAGTGAATTCCCTGTCCCCTTGTCCGCTGACATGTATGAGTTTCTTGATGGCCACAACACTTCCATCCTTCAACTGAGCCTTGTACACGTCGCCAAAACCGCCGGAACCAATAAGACTGTCATTGTGGAAGCCATTGGTAGCTTCAAGAAGATCTGCAAAAGTGAGCTTCCTTAGAGGCTTCTCAAATGTTGCAAGGTTTATGCTAAGTGCTTCACGGGCACTGGTCAATTTCCAGCTGGCATTGGCTGTTCCGGAATGAGAATTACCATCAATGTAGATATCAAGGGAAGCTTCCTTCTTCTTCCTCCTCTTTCTCGTCTCAATGGCAGTTATAATCAAACAAAAGACACAGAAGAGCGAAAGTAGCAATCCCATAGCCACACTCCACGCAAGAGATGCCTGTCTCCTATGAGACTTCTGATTTATGGCATTTGCACTAGCTCCTGACTGTGTCCCACACGAGTTCAACAGAGGAACTCCACAGAGACCAGAGTTATTCTGGAACCTGCCAGCTGGAAAAGTATCAAATTGACCGGACTCCGGAATCATCCCGGTCAGGTAGTTGTTTGACAAGTCAATCTCAGTGAGCAATGAAAGCCCCGTCAATGTTTGTGGAATTTGGCCTTGGAGCCTATTGTAGGAGAGATCAAGTATGTTGAGATTGATCATCTTCCCAAGCTCTTGTGGAATGTTTCCAGATATATTATTATGACCCAAATTCAAGATATACAAATAGTACATTACCCCAATTTCCTTGGGAATACTCCCAGACAACATGTTGTGTGAAATATCCAAAAAGATCATAGAACCATTATGGTTAAACGTTGGCTGCAGCTTACCTCCATAAACTCTAGTGAAATTGCAAGGGTTCCGGGTCGAAATCCTGCTCAACTGCTGCTGACTAATCCCGGCGAACTCGAGCAAGTTCCCAGCACCATGACACTCCTTACTACCATCATTCTTGATGTATACATAAGTCTTCCCACTAATGAAATTAACCGCAATCTTCCCGGATTGTTTAAACAACTCGGGAGGGATTGGCCCGGTGAGCAAATTAGTATTCAGATCCAACCATATCAAGCTATGGCAATCCCCGAGCTCCGGCGGGATTCCGCCGGAGAACGAGTTATTGCTGAGCTTGAGGATAGCCAGATTTGAAAGCTGCCCAATCCACGCCGGAATCTGGCCGCTGAGCCTGTTGTTGGAAAGGGAGATCCAATTCATGTTGGTGCAGTTGACTAGCCCAGAAGGAATGTTCCCAGTTAAGTCGTTGAAGTCAAGGATCAAGTTCTCAAGGGTCTTGATGTACATAAGCTCTTGGGGTATCTCCCCGTGTAGCTGGTTCAACCAGATGATCAAATCACGAAGCTTCGAAAGGGACCCTAAACTTGCAGGGATAGTACCCGTCAGGAAGTTGAAACTTAAGTCCAAGGCAACGAGGTTGGAACAGTTGCTGAGCGTGGGTGGAATATAACCGGTTAAACGGTTATTCTGCAGGTACAGTTCCTGCAAATTGTTCCCACCATTTTCACACAGCGACATAGGGATTGAACCGCTCAAGTTGTTAGAACTCAGATCCAACAACTCCAAACTTGAAAGCTGCGAAAGCAAGTCCGGTACAACCCCAACGAACTCGTTGAACGACAAGGCGAGCTCTCTCAGGTTACTCATCTCCGTCAACACATCAATCGGCAACGACCCGGCGAACCGGTTGCTCGATATGTCTAATGATTGAAGCGAGGAACACGCGCCGAACTGGCCGGGGAGGTAGCCGGTGAGGTTGTTGGAGGATAGGTCGAGTTCGACAAGAGTGGAGCAGAGATCGGCGAGGGTCACCGGAATCTGGCCTTGGAAGTGGTTTCCGGCGAGGTAGAGGAACTGCAGGGAACCGGAGGGGAGAGACGGAACCGTACCGGAGAACTGGTTGTTGGAAGCGTTGAGGTAGATGAGGTTCTTGCAAGGTGATAGAGTGCGAGCAATGTCGCCGAAGTACTTGTTGGCAGAGAGGTCGAGATACTCGAGGGAAGAACACTCGCCGAGGGAAGGAATGGCGACGGAGAAGTTGTTGGAGGAAAGGTCCAAATGCTGCAAAGTGGTGAAGCCGGAGAAGTCGGTTTCGCCGGTGATTTTGTTCCCTTTGAGAGCCAAGTAGTTCAACCCAGGTGTGACGTTGAGGATCCAAGGGAGAAAGTTGGGACCGGAAATCTTGTTGTAAGAGAGGTCAAGGACTTGAATATTGAGGCCAAGCTTCCAGCGAGGTGGAGAATCGAATTCGAGAAGGTTGTTGGAGAGGTTAAGAGATTGGAGGTTGGAGCATGAGGCCAGGAAGGACAAATCGGAAAAGGACCCAGAAATGGTGTTCTGAGATAGATCTATGGTTGTTAATGAGGAGGTACTCTTGGAACTGTGGCCAACGGCACCGGAACCGGTGAGGTTGGTTGATTTGAGGGTGAGGACTTGAAGGTGGTCGAGGGTGAGAAGGTAGGTTGAGATAACGGTGAGGTTTGTGCCGAGTGGGATGGAGGTGAGGTCTATGGAAGTGAGATAGGTTTGGTTGCAGGTAATCCCGGTGAATGAACATGGATTTTGGTTCGGAAGCCAGTTCTGGAGCAGGGTTGGGTTCGGAAGAGTGGCTTTGAAGTTTAACAGTTGCTGGGTGGGGTCTCTGGTAGAAGAAGAAGAAGATGGTAAAGGGTGGAGAGAGAAGGAGAACAAGAACAAGAGCAAAAGCAAGAGAGAGCGGCGTTGGTTGCTGTAGTGGGGTTTCATTTTTTGTGAGGTTCTGAGACAGAGAGAGAAAGAAAGAGAAAGTGTGTGTGTGTGTGTGTGTCTCTGTTTATGAGTAAAAGCTGTATCTGTGTTCAGGGTATGAGCTCTGCCATTAGAGAGAGAGAGAGCTCTGGTTCATAGAGAGGAAACAGAGAGAGTCAAAAAAGTCGTAGGAAGTAAGGTAAGAAGGGTATTTATCAAGTTGAAGAATGGACACAGCTGTTGCTCACATGCCATGTGACACTCTATTTGTTAATCTATAATCAAGGCTTTCTCATGTATATATTTTTTCATCCTTCTTCTTTTTCTACTCTCAACACTAACTAAAAAAATCCTTCTACTTGCTTCATAAGAAAATGTATTCAACATGAAGACAAACACATTTAATAATATCATTAATTATTCTTTGTAATTAAGAATATTATTTAGTTGACTCATTTATTATCTTGAAAACTTCTCCTATTTCAGTTTGCTTCACCTTTGTTAAAAATATCTCAAATAAATAAGCTTTTACAATTTTTGACCAATTTTGGATTTAAAGTTTCTGAAAGCTAAACTAAGCATGCATTTAATCCCAGCATTTATTATCTCTCTAAAATTAATTAATTAATATCTAGATAAATTTGCAAGTTAATACTTTTTGTGAAATTTTTAAAATCATCTATTTACTGAAGATGACATTGACACACACATAAATGTCTGTAAATAAGAGAAAAATAAATTGCTTGAATATAATATGTCTCGCCCGCAATAAAAAGTGAGAGATTAAGTTAGGTTTTGAATCGAGTTGTCTAAAACTGCATCCTGGTTCCACTCACTAAAATATACTATTTATTCTATTCAACTTTCCGCGTACGTGCGACGAAAGACTGATCCATCCCCATCATCACTATCAATTAATTGAGATTCTATCTCTTAATTAAAACGGATTTTTCGCTAACGAGGATTTTATTTACCCCATCTTGGCAGTTTTCACTTTATTTATTTATTTATTTTTTGAGTTTTTCCACCCATCATTCTATCGTTTTTTGAGTTTTGGCTAAAAATATATTGTCAGGAGAAAAGGGGGAGATAAATAAGAATTCATGGTTCCGTGTTCCCTTCGCAACATTCCTAACTCACGAACAAACTTTTCATTCATTCATTCAAGTTTCCTTAATTTTGGTTATTATTACATATGTTTTTTACAATCTAATGCGGTTGATGTGGAAACGGTGACTTTAGAAAGTTTGTTGTTAAATGAGGATGACGTGGATGTCAGTTTGTCACCGTCTTTCCTCTCTCAGCAAAAATGAACGGCAGATGAAACTAGAAACACAAAATTTTACTCACTCTCTTGCTGTTATCAAGGGGGTCCACACAAATATGATTTCACGAGTGGGTGAGGTCCCATATTGACAGGTTTATCCTCGGCATGAAAAAATGGGCGCTGAAAATGGGGAAGAAAAGTTTGAGTGGTTCTACGAAGGGATTATTAACAGGAAAAGAATGTATCTCGTTTTAAAAATGTAAAATTGTGTTATTTTAAGAGAGTGAAAGAAATAAATAAAAGAGAAGAGAGAGTTGACAAAAAAAATAAAGACGTGGATCTCATCTCTTTGCGAGAGTGAAAGAATATAACTTTTGTCATTTAAAAAAATAAATATTTTTCCCTTATTAATATTATGATATTACTGGAGATGATTTTATTTGCTTTGAAAATAGATTCTCACATAATAAAAAAAATTATAGTCACGTAAAATTATGAGTTGAATTAATGATTATAATTTTATAATTATTTATTTTAATATTTTTGTTTTCTTTTCTTGTACAATCACTGATCCACTTGATTATGATTTTCTCTATGATTATATTATATATTTTTTAATATGAGAGAATCTAAATTTATTTTCTTTACATATATTAAAAGAGTTAGGATATTTTAACTACCAATTTTTTTTACTATCACTCTACTACTACTCTAATCACCACTAGATTAAAGGAAAAGTTGAATAAAGAGAGAAAAAAAAATAACTTTTGAATCCAATGGTGATTAAAGTGATAGTGAAATAGTAGTAAAAAAAATTGATAGCAGAAATATTCTACCTCATATTAAAATAGGTTAAATTTATTTATTTTTTCTCATTGCATGAAACTGTATATTTTAATATGTGTAGCGTGAAAAAAAGAAAAGAAATCAAAATAATAATAAATTTTAAAAGAGAGAGACAGAGAGGAAATTTATTATAAGAATGATGAAGGTGATGATTATGATGAAGAGGGACCTCAAGCTGCGATCAACACGTGCTTCTGTCCAGTGTGATTACGTGGCCAAATAGCAGAGTCCTATCCACCATAGGTAGCTTTGACTGCTCGGTCACCGACACGCTGGCCAACTTGTCACTGTTACTCTCACCACCTTAACTAAAATTGCTATTCATAATCACGAACCCATTTTTTCTCCGTAGTGAAATTAAATATCAATGAAAAAATATATTCTATTATATACACAATAATAATAATTGTATTTGATGATCTTAATTAATTTTGATGTGAGGTACGTATGGGTGTTGCACCAAAGCCAATTAAGAGAGGGAAAAGAAGGATCAATAATAAATATGTGAGAGAGAGAGAGAGATAGAGATAGAGATAGAGAGGACACCACACGTGCACGAGCACGCGCATAAAATAATTGAAGAGTTGGAGGGTCCTACTTGAAAGGACTAGGTGGGGCCATGTACCTTGTGTTATTAGAAGTAGTAAGTGCATCAAGCTAGCTAGGTGCAAGAACATTGAAGGAAAACTTTAAAAGTTAAATAAATAAAAAGGGGATGTTAATGAAAGTTCCATGATTATTATCTATTGCTTTTATCATAGGTTATGTAGAGATATGGAGGGAGGAGAAACGGTGTTGGTGGGTCTCGCAGTCTTTTTGGTCTTTCTTTCCATCAAATATAACAAAGTACAAAAGAGAAATGAGAATGAAAATCAATGCCACACGAGAGCGATGACCTTTTGAGAGCGACCCTACCCAATTATTTTGGCAATGAACAACGGAAATGCCAGAAAGAGGGTATGGCTTTTCACTTAACTTTGGTTACATTACCAAGCTAGGACTTGAATTAGCAATCTATGATATGTGATTTAGAAATATTTTTCGTTTTCTTTTTTGTTTTTCTATAATGGGTTTCGAAGCTGACCAAATGTTATTTGTCCACAAGCATAGGCTTAGAGGAAATTTGTACTTTTGCAACATAAATGAAATTTGATCTTAATTTTGAACATTTTAACTGTGTTGACTTAGATTAACACACCATTAAAGGCAAGTTTTAATTAAAATCTTAACACGTCTTGAAAAAATACGACTTCATAAAGTTGATGAAAGGGTGTAGAAATAGATATACAGACACAAAATAGCAGGGTGTACAATTATAAGATCATCTAATAATTTCAATTTCCTCTGAATTGTTAGGCCAGGATGGCTCGGACACTCTTACACACATAAATTCAATAAAGTGGGGCCTCGGAGCAGCTGTATTAGAACCTAAATTTTGGCATTTTATGAGCAGATTTCTCGGAAAAAATTTCTTTATCATCATTCTTTGATTCTTTCTATAGTAATATTATGTAACCCAAAAAATAATCACAATATATTTTGATAAAATTTAATTAGATTCGAGAGTAATTATTAGATAAAATAAAGAAATTACATATTCAAGAACGAAAAAAATATGCTACCTCATTATATTTAGTTTACCCCCCCCCCCCAAAAAAAAAAAAAAAAAAAACTCTCACTGTCTAGATTTTTGTTATTTCTATACCCTGAGAATTTTTGCTTACCTTAACTTAATTCAAATCTTTATTGTTGTAGCGTATGATGCACCGACACTGACACGGGACACGACACGATTTGATACGTCTACACGTTAATTCTAAAAAATATTATATTTCGACATGTTGGGAAACGTTTTAATATTAAATAAAATTTTTAATATATAATATAATTTATATTTAATACACGTAACAGTCCACAATAAGTCATATAACCAATCAAATATTCAAATTTCATAACATAAATATAAACAAAAATAATTCTTCGTACTTTGTTAATTTTTCATGTGAAGTTCATAATAAAAAAAAAATTGATTTATAATTTTTTTTTATATTTAGTGAATAAAATAAAATTAAGACAAAAAAAAAAACGTGTTGGAATATGTCAGAGCGTTGACCGCGTGTCGAAAAAATTTGACTGTGTGTCAAAAAAACGTGTCAGAACGTGTCAGAAAGTTAATCGTATGTCCCAAAATATTGATCACGTGTCGAACACGTGTCCGACACGCAATTTTTAAAAAAAGTTACGAGTCCTTGCTTCTGAGGTTGTAGCCGCAATGGCCATATCCATAACCGTATACGGGAGAAAAAATATGAATTGAGGAAAAAAAAAAAAAACCATATGATGGTTGTAATTTTTATTCTTATTTACGGATGATGGCTCTACTTTTTCTAGTGGAGAAATTTGTGATATCTTTTGTTGGGGAAGAACAAAATAACTGTTTTGAAAGCTACTTTTAAAAAATTATTACAATTTCTTTTCGCTTACAATTAAATCTTAATCGTTGATTTATGTCAATATAATAATTTTAATTTATTGAGAATTAATAATTAATTAATAAGTATGACTCAATAAATTATAACCGTTAAATTCACGAAAATCAACGATTAAAATTTGGTTGTCAGAAGTTATAAGCGAAAATAATTGTAAATATAACCTCCAAAAAATATTAGGTAAAAATTCTCATGTGTGTATGCATGTCTACAAGTATCATTTCACATGATACATTATCCATATGTACGTACAAAACGTTATTTCATATGACATTTTGTGATATATCATGTGAAATGATGCTAACTATATAAAAAATTTGTCTATGTGCCTTGTGGCTAACATCTATGGAAGACGTTAGTCCATATGGAGTTAACGTCTTCCACATACATTAGCCATGTGATAGACATGTCTCTTCTCTCTTAGTATTTAATTTTTTTCTCATTCCAACTCCATTAATCTAATAACTACCGTTAATTTTATCGTTTCGTATTTACTTCATGTTACACTAGCTAAAATATTTGGCGGTTGTTATCAAAAAAAAAAATATATATATATATTTGGCTGTTCTACTTCTAT